TTTTTTTTGTATTCCCATTAGTAGTTGGAATACCATTAATCGCTGCTACCACACATGGCGTCCTATCATGGCTCTGTATTAAACAGTTTTAATGAGGCTCAGAGATTATGGAAGTAATACTTATTAGAAATTACATGTATATCTTCATAACCTAATCTCCGTTAGAATCCTGTAGGGAACATTCTCATTGTCATCTGCATTTTAGAGATGAGGAAATGAGCCTTAGAGCATGAAATAACTTGCCTCGGTTCAGCAAATAATGACAACAATATGTGAATTCAAGTGTGTTGGGGTGTATTTAATTTTTTTATCAGAAGGTGGGAGCAGAGTTCAGTGGACCCTCATAAAAAGAGTAGGATCTGGTCCTTTAAATCTGAGTTTGTTTAAAAGGAAGAATGTATAACTTTCTTCCTCAATCCTAAATATTCCTTCCTAAGTTTAGAGGATTTCTCTAAAACCTGCCAGCTGCTTTCCACTATTTCCAGGGGAAAGAGGCCTTTCAGACTATTTTGCAAGGAGAAAAATAAAGAAGTAATCCAAATTGAGCACCAGGCTCACGGTCTCCCAAATCCCAACCTCTCCAGCTCCAAATTAATCTATCTTTCACTGCTGTTGAAGGCAGGGATCTTTTTCAAAACAACAAATTGAACATATTTTCAGAAATTATTTCACAGAAACACAGGTGATGGACAAGTTTGCATAGGTCTGGCTCAGCTGGTGAGCTTCCAAAGAAAGTCCAGCTTACATTTTGTTCTTTTCATGTTATTTATCACTCATTGTAAGGAAGGGATCAAAGGCATCAGACGGTGTTTAACAAGAGAACTAGCATCCAAAGTCTAGACCTTCCTCAAAGCCACACCAGTGGACCAGCAGGCCTGGGTACAAGATTGCATACAATTTATAGCATCCACACCTAACACTACAACATTCTGAGTTCAGCACAGCAGTAGCTGTCTTTCTGTTGCTCTAAACATATCCTTAATCATACAAAAGTCATGAAATTAGTTACTGGGGGTGAGCAATAATAGGACAAAATCTGGGCCTTTATTTCACTGAAATGTTTGCATCTGGGCATCACTAGGCTCTGGAAATATGATGGTTTATAAGACAGACGTCATCCCTTCCTGCTTCCTGCTGTTTACATACCAAAAAATTGTACCAGATTCTAAACTATGTGATGCAATAATCCCATACAAGTTCAGAAAGCATGACTCATTTAACAAATATTTGTTCAATGGTGAACACAGGTAAGCCACTGTTCTCGATCCTGCAGTGAACAGCCTCCTGAAGCTTCCATGCTAATGGTAACATGTATTAGCATCAATAAGTCACTTTTTGCCAGATTGAATTTTCATTTGCAAAATATAGTTGTTATTTCTCACACTTGATACATCAACTGGAGGAGAATCATATTTATGAGCTTCCCTTTATGGAATTACATACACTGACGTCAACCCTAGAGATGAATCTGGTGACCTCAGATGGGGTGGTGGTTAGTGATAAGAGATGAGATTTTGTTTTTCAATTATCTAAATGTGGAAATGTTAATACCATGTAAGGCAATTGCAGAAAGTGTGTGACTACAAACTATTGCTTCGCGAACCTTCTAATGGAGATGCAGGGGCCGTGGTCAGAAGAGCCCAGGCTCACCTCTGTAGTCCCACAGGGCTTACATTGCTCTTCCTTGCCTAATTCTCCTGCTGTAGTGAAGTCTAGAGAGAAATGATCCATCTTCCTTTAGAAGATATATCTGCCCAGAGCACTAGATTTCAGTCTGGGTCAAATTACAGTTTACCAACAAGCATTTCTGTGTGCACAGAAAGTAGTCAATAAATTCTTCCCAGTAAAGTAATGAGGAAAATGCAGAGAGGGGTTTGACTATCTGGGCAGAGTCATGAAGGTATTGATATATCAGCAATTCTTATCTAGTGACTTTCATTTACCTATTTAGTGAACTAAAATTTCAGCAAAATTGGCCATACTCTCTCTGTTGAAAGACTAGACACAGATATTCGTTAGGGTCATGATCTTTTTTTTTTTTTGGCCACTATAATCTTTTACCATTTTTGAATAGATGTAAGTTCAAGACTATCCATCACATTCCAGGTGTTTTTACTCTTTGAAAATATTGATATGCCAACTCTCTGTACATCCTTTTTTTTTTTTTTTTTTTTTTTTTGGACAGAGTCCCCTTTGTCACCCTGGGTGGAGTGCCATGGCATCATAGCTCACATCATCCTCAAACTCTTGGGATTGAGCAATCCTCTTGCCTCAGCCTCCTGACAGCTACAGACATGTGACACCACACCTGGCTAGTTTTTCCTACTTTTAGTATGCATTCTAATCTTCATTTCTACATCAGAGGAACAATTATTCAGGACAGAATTCAATTGCTTGTTTTGCTGGGGTCAGAGACTGATGTTGTAGAGGCTGAGGCAAAGAAAACTAATGCCTTTTATCCTCTCCCATGGTGCAGATTTCATACAGAAAAAATCATGTGTGCAGCACTGTGGAGCTGAGGGAGGATTCCAGCAGCTGAAGGCCCATCCCACTGTCCAGTGATCCTCTAGCCTCACTGTGGCCCTTCAGTTGTCCTTACTGAGCACAGAATAGGATTTGGGAAATGGAACCAAAGCACCTATGTTTCAAATAGTGCACACCTGCAATTAATTTTATTTTTTAAGGATTCCTTTTTGCCATAAGTGTTTAGAAATGTAAGCAGATACATAGTTCTGATTAATCTGAAAAATGTCTTTCCTTACTCTTAAAATAATACACACATGCCATAGAAAATACAAGTAAATAAAAAGAAAGAAATTTAAATATAACTGAATTGTAATATTTAATTACAGTATTAAATATTATATCATATTTATTCATTCTTTACTTTTTATAGCATAAAATATTGTGCACACATTCTAATTTTTAAAAAGAGAACACAACATATACTGTTTTATTGAAATAGAACGGAATTTTTTTTTCCCATTTCTCAATCATTGGGACTCTACCTGAACAAAATGCAGATAAGAATGTATTTTCACATGTGCTATCAGAATCCGCCATTGATATATTCATTTGAAAAAGGATACTTCTTTTGCATAACCAGAAAATAAATCACTTGCATGTGAATCCATGTGGTCATGAGATTTAAATTTCTAGAATCCTTATGTTTTCATGTCCTGTATAGGCAATAGAGCAAGGACCAAGTCAAACAAAAAGGAGTAGTATGAATTCAGCATCATACTCAGAGATCAATGAAATTAATACGCACTATCCCCTCGGGTTTGGTGTAAGGTAATAGGTACTAGGATATTAGGAAGGTTGCTCATCCGTGATACTCAAATGGGCAGATGATAAAATGAAAATGTATGGTGCAGTGCTTTCAAGACCCACTCAAATCAAATGCTCATTGATGTTTTTGGTTCATTTTCTCTATCTCACAAATTAATTCTTATCTATT